ATGTTTGAAGATTCCTTTGTAGTCTTGTTTATAATTGGAAATAACCTAAACATCCAACAATAAATTGGTTAAATAAATTGTGATATATAAATCTATGATATACATACAGCTATAAATATCATGTATGAATATAATAAGGATAAATGCTTATACTATGTTAAGAGAAGAGACTAAAGGTACTTATCAGCCAGTATAGTATGACCTCATTTAAAAAAATGAAAAAGATTAAAAAATATTGGAGATCATGCAGAATGTTAACAGTAGTTATTTTTAGCTAATGGAATCTAGGTTATCAATGTAATTTTTCTTTAAAGTATTCTATGCTTAAATAAATTTTCATGAAAACATTTCTGTTATACTGGAAAGATTTTTTTGCTTAATCCTTAGTAGCTCTTCAAAATGATTTGGTGTGTTGCTCATTTTAAAGCATGGAATCATCAAAGAAAATCAATGCATACATGTGAATTTCTAATATCTTTGTTGCAGGTTTGGAGCTGTTCAGGATGTTTCTGTATATTTCACATGCCCTGTATCCAGAAGTGGGCTAAAGACAGCCAGTTTCTGGTGTCTTCTCCTTTGACAGATGATGATTTTGGAAAGAGAGATTATCCCTGGCCTTGGTAATGTTTTCTAATTTAGTTGGAATATTAAGTTGTAAAATAAATGAAAATTATAGCTCATAAGTTGCTTTATTGGCAGTTTCAGGATCCATGTTTGGCTTTCAATTAGTTGTTTGGTTTTTGTGAAGATAAGGAACTTCGGTAATGGCTTTCTTTCTTATTATCAATTTGTATAACTACTTGTTCCTTTTAGTAACTAATAATTTATTCAGACCTAATTTTTTCCTCTTCAAGAAAACCCCTTAATTATCCTTTTTAAAGAACTTTCATCTCTTTAAAATTCTATAAAACTGGAATCGTTCATAATTCTGGTACTTTTAATCTGGAGTTCCTGCTAGTGTATATTAATTAGTATCACATTGTGTAAGATTGTCGTCTAACATATTTTGATCATAGTCTTTCCAATTTTATTCTTGGAGTCTGTCAATTGCAGGTATATGTTATCTACTCTCATCAGTTTACCTACATTTATTTTATTAGTTTGGCTTATTATTGATGAATATATAATTGTGAACTTCTAGTGTATTTCCAGAGAGAGCTGGGGAGTGGAGAATTTATATCTTTGTAAATAAAGACAATAAAAAATTTTCCAATACTGGCAGCCCAAAGGGTAGATTTACTGTCGAGGTAATGAAGCATAAACTTCAGGGACTCTGTTTTCACATAAATGTTAACTTTTATAACTAATTTTATATTTTTTATAGTTTTCCATTCTTTTTCATAAAAGAGACCCCCAAGTTGTATAAGATTCAGGCCTCAGAAAATCTGGATCTAGATCAGATCTCAAACTGATATATTTGTAAAATTGTGGTAGTGTAGTTGGAGATACTGCAGTTAATTGAATTGTTCAGGCTTCTCTTACTGTTAAGCCATAGGCTAGGATTTGAAACCTATGATTTGACTTCCAAATTCAGTGCTTTTTCTATTCAGAGTTATATCTTATAATTCTTTTAGATATGTTGTTTGTTTTCATTGAATATTAGCTTCTCTGAAACAGTTTAACATTTCAAAGCCTATATTTGTTTTGCTACTTTCTATTATTTATTTGTGGGAGGATTTTAGTATTTAATAGGCATAGAATTAGAGTAGATATTTTGGCTTAATCTTAGAGATTTGAAAGTTAGGGTTATTTTTCCCCACTTGCTCTTCTCATCTCTTAAGTGGTCATTTTGCCATGGAGTAGAAAGTACACCAGTTAGGAGAGGATGAACTACTACTCTTCATTGAAATCTAAAAGGAACAAAAAACTGCATCAATTGTGTGGTAACCTTTGCATTCTATATTTCACATTTTTTAGGAAAGAAAGTAAGTAACTGTTCTGGATTTTGGTTAATCCTTGTCAGGATGGAGCTAGAATTTGATAAAAATGTTTAAAATTAGTTGGTTTGTGGAAATCAAACATGTAAAATACATATTTCTACTAAGATATTGCTTTTTTATAAACAATACATAATTACATTTCATTGTTAGAATGTCATTCAATTTAAATAAAACTCATTTGCACATATTGCCCTCACCTTCTGTATTTCCCAGAACAGTTCAGACTCAGTATTGATGAGCAATTTTAAAGTGTGATAAGTTGCTTTTTAGCTATCCATATCTAAGCTTATTAAAAGTACACAGTAGCTTAGAGGAAATGGTAGACATATTTCAGTAAAGGAAAATTTTAACACTTCCAACAAAATTCTAATTATTTCTTCCAGATGAGACATGGAATTTTGTTTTGATTTTTAATTGCAAGAAGAAATATCTTTTAGTTATTTTGAATATTATGTGACATTTATTTGGAAACAGTATGTTCTCGGCAATGACAATATGTTGTATGTGTTGCAAAAGAAATTTAAATGATTATATGAACCTGTTTTTCCAGTACATATACTAGCTATACTCATTTGTCTTTATTTGTGAATGAAGTGATCTGTAATTTATTAGTGAATTTGATATAGCAGAAGTTTACCACTTCTAGTACCAAAACTACATTATTTTAGTCTTGCCAGGTAAAAATCTTGCTGCAGTAGTGGAGGATATGAAGGAGTATTTGAACTTCTCTTTGACTTAGGCACATTTGAAGATACCTATTTTGTATTAGATGTTGAGAAATACAAAATTCTTTACTTTCAAATACTTTCCCCCTTAATTCTAGATCTTAGTCATCTTTATTGCCTACATATACCTTGATTTCTTTCTGTTGTCTTCTGTTGGTAATATATTTTATTTATTTGTAAACCACCTAACAAAACTTTTAAAACATCAATCTTTATAAAAACTGGAGTGAATAGCTTACGAATAAAGTTTAAGTGGTAAGTAGAAAGCTAATGTTGCTTTCTTTTTGTGGCTGTGTTCTTGGTATGTGCTGCTTAATACACTAGCAACTAACCCTATGTGGTTATTTAAATTTTTAAAAATTATAAAATAAAAATTCTGTTCTTTCCTCAGTTGTAGATATTAGCCACTGTTCAAGTGCTAACTAGCCATATGTTGCTAATGGCTACTGTATTTAACATGGTAGGTATAGAAAAGTTCCATCATCTCAGGAAATTATATTTGACAGCTGTTCTAGATGGTTGAAATTGATTTTAGTAAAATCTTGTTTCTTACTAATAAAAAGATGGAGCAGAGACTGTTTTAACATAAAACTGAGTATACCCTAGTACCCAGTATGTTTATATTCTTGTCACTCATGTCACTTTTAAAAATGAAATTAAGTGATTTCATTCTTTGTAGTCCAAAATGTAGGTTTGAATACAAACGATCTGACACTCCTAGTAGGTACTATTGTTATTGTGGGAAAGTGGAAGATCCACCTTCAGATCCATGGCTTGTGCCTCATTCGTGTGGCCAAGTATGTGAGAGAGAATTTAAACCTCCTTGTGGCCATAAGTGTTTACTCCTATGTCATCCAGGTGAGTTATAAGTTACATTTCTTATTGTGTGTGAGTGGTTTACTTTTTATGTTGAGGCAAAAGAAACCCAAAAACTGAAAGTTGAATTAGAACTTAAGTTTATGTAAGAAAATATTGGAAGGGAATGCCTTTTAAAATACCAGTAAGGAAAGCATTAGAAACTACAGATAGGTGTAGGAATTGAGAACTCTTCTGATAGTTTTTCCTTTCATTGGATTCTAGGTCCCTGCCCTCCTTGTCCAAAGATGGTTACAACTACTTGTTACTGTAAGAAAGCAAAACCTATTCCTCGCAGGTGTAGCATGAAGGAATGGTCCTGTCAGGGCCCATGTGGGCGGAAGTTGCTTTGTGGACAACATAAATGTGAAAATCCTTGTCATGCAGGTAAAAAGGTCATCATACCTGTTAGGTGTTCTGACTTTTAACAAAAGTCACACAGTCTCTATGGCTTTTATAACATTTCTGTGCTAATTTATTATTGTAATTTTAGGAAGTTGTCTACCCTGTCCAAGAGTTAGTAGACAAAAGTGTGTCTGTGGCAAACAAGTAACTGAAAGAAGCTGTGCAAGTCCATTGTGGCATTGTGTTCAAGTAAGTGTATATGTGTTTTGAGGGGTGGGTATTAAAGAGCACAGAAAGCATGAACAATTAGAAATGCTAATTAGTCTTAGATGGATAAGAGGAGAGGAAAAATAGTAACTCAGATTAATTGTATTCACTTTTAGGAAACTTTCAGTTTAATATTTTAATTACTGGGGGAAATATATTTTTTCAAATTAATAGCTACTTATTGAATTTGGATTCAGTACTTATGTACTTCCTTGGATTCAGTACCTCTCTCGCTCTCTTTCTTCTTTCTTCAACTTAATCCCTCCTCTCTTCTTTAGTTAACCCAGTTGAGGAAGTAGGATTGAGTTTTGTAGATTGCTTGTCCTAGAATTGGCATGGTTTTAATACCATTTAGAAATCTTGGGTAGATGGCCATATGAAGCTGTCTGTAGTTTTTTTCTTTTTAAAATACACTTTTTGGGACTATTGGGTGTTTGTATGTGTGTGTGTACATAGGTATATATGTATATATACATTTGTGTGTGTGTGTGTGTGTATATATATATATATATAAAACCCATCTAAGATGTAAAGCATAATTATATGAGGAACATAAAGATGTTGCTTAATTGTAGTTGAAAAGTGGATTATGTCATGTATAGTCTTGCTGACTTTTAAGTCCTTCACTAGTGCATACTGCATTTTATTTTAGGTATGTGGAAAAACACTGCCATGTGGTAATCATACATGTGAGCAAGTTTGCCATGTTGGTGCTTGTGGAGACTGTCCTAGATCTGGGAAGAGGTTCTGTCCATGTCAGAAGTCAAGTAAGACTTTTAAAAATCTTTAATAGGGTATAATTATCATGCCAACTAGAGTACTTTCCTAATTCAACTAGATTTCTCTGCAAGTTTATCAGGTAGTTTTAGTAATAACACAAATCTGGTACTAGATTTCATACATTTGCATGAGAGGACAATATAGCATAGTGGATTAAGAATTCAGACTTTGGAGATAGGCATATCTGGGTTCAAATCCCACATTCATTAATTACAGTGTTCTCAGTTAAATGGGGATGGTAATAGTACCTTTTTTTAAAAATAACTGTGAGAATTAAATGATGAAATGCACATAATATATTTAGTGTAGTGCCTAGAACATAAGGAAAACCTAATAATAAGCTTTGTCATTATTTATTAAATTCACCTGTGTTATAGGTGAATTTAATTTTGACTGCTTTGAGTAAAGGCCTAGAAGGGTTGCAGTTTGAGTCCACTTCCTTGACTCTGCGCTGTTAACAGCACACATGCTTAGGTTATTGCCAACAATTGTCATATAGTATGTTTGTTATGTGTATGTATAATATGTTTAAAGGGCAGTTTCATAATGTTTTAATGTCTACATCTTTGTTTTTTTTAATCCTGTGAGGTTAAGAGCAAATTTTTATATATAATTCTATATATTGTAGAATTCTTCATAGAGGTTTACATGGTCTTACTCATAAAACTGTGCTTCTTGAGGATGTCAACTTGTGTCAAATTTTTTTAGAAAGCATAAACTTTACACATATTAAGGATTATTTCTAAAGTTAATTTTTTCCAATAATTATGTAGATAGTCTGAAAGGGCTATCATTCTTTAGGGAGCCAAAGAACATGGGACATTGTTAGTGCTTTACAGTACTGTATCTTATTAAAATTGACTTGTCATCTGCTTTTAGAGTTTTCTTTGCCTTGTACAGAAGATGTACCAACTTGTGGAGATAGTTGTGACAAAGTACTTGAATGTGGAATCCATAGATGTTCACAGCGTTGTCACCGAGGTCCTTGTGAAACATGTAGACAGGTTAGTCATCTCGGGTAATAATCACTTCTAAGGGTTGCCTTTCATAATAGGTCAAATGGGACTGTTCTGCAACTGTTTTCCATCACTTGGTTTCATAAACCTTTATGTATGATCTGCATGAGTTTAGTGACCTAATATTTATGGTGAAGAAGCAGATTATGCCAGCAAGCAAATCTAAAAATTACTTGTTTATTTTTGCTTGGTCACAATTTAAACATTGTAATTTTTATCAGGTAATGTGGAGTTGTTTGTTCCCAGAAGAAATTCAAAGCAATGATGAATTAGACCTAGTGCTGAGAGAGAAGAATGCCTAGAATTGACATTTTAAAGTTAAATGTTGTGGGTTTGGCCATCGTACTAGTTAGCCAATTTTCTTGTTTCACCAAGACAACATGTGCATGGGTTATGGTGGAACTAGATGTAAGTCATTTTAATGCATGGTGTCGTTTTACTATTTAGTATCACATTTTTGCTAAGTTTAATAGTGGAAATTCTACCGAGTTCTTTTTGGAACAAAGTAAGAAAAAATTTTGTAGGAAATTCAGCCTATTTTTGGTAAAGCCTCATACAAGAGACTTAAAACTTCTCTTTCATTTTTTAGTAATTATAGAAATTGCAACGTGGTAAAAATCATGTCAATGAAAGTCAGCTTTACTAGTATTTATTTGATTCTTCCAGGAAGTGGAAAAGCATTGTCGCTGTGGAAAACATACAAAACGAATGCCATGTCATAAACCTTACCTGTGTGAAACTAAGTGTGTTAAGATGCGGGACTGTCAGAAGCATCAGTGCAGGAGAAAGGTATGTGTAGTAAGCTTGGGAAACTGATTCAGAACTGCTATTCTGCTATGGAATTTTTCCTTTTTGGGTCTCTGGTAAGTGCCTTCTTGACTTGTTCTTCTAATGTTCAGTCATATTCTTTGCTTTCCATATGAAATACTAATAAAAATTCTAGACTAATCTTAAGTATCTGTATTCGGGGAAAGCTTACCAGTGCTTTTGAAGGGTCTCTTTTGGTCCTGTGCATAATCCTTTCAAATTGGTTCCTGGGCCGTTGGTGTTCCCTGACTTTAACACATCATAGCAGTGTTGAAGAGTTCTTTGGTGTTAAAGATTTCACTTCTCTTGTCCAAATCTTACTTTTAGACTCTTGTTCAGCCTAAGTTGACTGGGGTATTTTACTGAGTGTGTAGATTTGCAGTTTCTTTAAGTCCCTTTATTCATGAATTATATGGGGAGATTCCTTGTTCTTAGATCTCCTGATATACAGTGACTTCAACATTGTTTTGCTTAGTGTTAACACAGTATCTTTTTCCATTCTTTTACTTTTCTTCATATATTTATATTTAAAGTAGAATTCTTACAGGCAGCATTTAGATAATTATTTTATTTTGTCCAAGTTGACAATCTTTGTCATTTAATTTGGGTGTAGATCATTTGCATTTAATGTGACTCTTAATATGGTTGGATTTAAATCTATCATTTTGCTATTTATTATTTGCCCATGTGTTCCTTGTACCTTTCCCTCTTTTGTGTCTTCTATTTGATGTTTTTCCAGTGATTCTATTTTAACTTCATTTGACTTCCTGCATTTTATACCCATGTATTTTATAAACCCCAAATGCATTGTTTTTATTTTTGCCTTAGAAACCTTTTAAAGAGTTTAAAAGAAAATAAGAAAAAGTTGTCTTGTATTGTTATCATAAATTAGTGATAAAAATCACGTAAAGTAAGAAGATATATCTATCACCATTCTATCTGATTTCATTTTCTTTCTATCTGAAAACTTCCTTTAGCATATTTTGTAGTGCCGATCATGATTTTCAATTTTGTGAAAAATATTTGTGGAATTCTAGTATGACAGCTTTTTCTACGTACTTTAAAGATGTTGCTCCATTATCTTTTAGCTTGCATTTTTTCCAACAGACAGCATGGTGCTGTTGTTGTCTTTGTTCCTCTGTATGTGATGTATCTTTCTTCTTTGATTTTTTTTGAAGATTTTTCTCTTTATCACCAAAATTAAGCAATTTATTTGTAGTGTCCCTTGGTATAGCTTTCTTCATGTTTCTTTAGCTCAGTTTTGTTGAGCTTCTTGGAATTGTATAGCTTTCATGGAATTTGTGAAATTTTCAGTCTTTATTTTTCAAATACTTTTCCCCCACCCATTCCTTCTGAAACTCCAATGACATACACATTAGGCTGCTTCAAGTTCCACAGCTCCTGATGCTCCACCAAAATCCCTATTTGATGAATAAGAGATTATAGTTGGTGAGGGAAATATCTAGTAAATTCTCACTCAGAAGTATCTAGTAAAGCAGTATAGCCAAGATCTGAGCTCAAGTCTTCTGAATATAAAAGTTTTTTCTTTCTATATGTTGTTTTCTATACTTGCTTTCCCCTCAGTGTTGCCCTGGAAACTGTCCACCTTGTGATCAAAACTGTGGACGGACTTTAGGATGTAGAAACTGTAAGTGTCCATCTGTCTGTCACAGAGGTAAAATTTAACAACAGCTGTTAAATTACTAAGTCCTATTAAGCGTTTATTACTTAGTCCTATTAATTTGTTTTATTTTAGCTTATATAGCTTTGTCTTTGAGTTCACTAATTTTCTTTTGTATTTTCTAATCCATTGTTTATCCATCCTGTGTTTTTTCATCTCATAGTATTTTTTTTATCTCTGATAGTTGGAGTAAGATCTGTTCTTATATCTTCCATGTCTGTCCTTAGCATGCTCATGCTTCCTCTATCTTGAACATATGGATGAACTACACTTATAATGACTGTTTTTAATGCCTTGTCTGCTAATTCATCTGTCATTTCTGGGTCTATTTCTATTGTTTGATTTTTCTTCTTTTGGGTTATATTATCTAGCTTCTTTGCTAGGTAATTTTTTTATTGGTTTCAAAACATTGTGAACTCAACATTTTTGGGTGCTTTTTTTTTCTTTTTTTGTATTCCTTTTAATATTTTAAAGCTTTGTTCTGGGTCAAAGTCAAGCTATTTAGAAACCATTTGGATTTTTTGAGGCTTGCGTTTGTTAGATGTGACCAGACCATCCTTTTATCTAGGACTAATTTGGCATTGCTACTGAGGCAATAACACTTCTAAGTACTCTATTTGGTGCCTGTGTAAATAGAAGTTCTTTTTCTCTGGCCACAGGGAACCCAAACTATTCCTAACCTTGAATAATCTCTGGAAATGTTTCTGCCTTCTTCCCATGGTTCTTTATGAGGTTTTGGGTAGTTTCCTCTTGCACGTGTATAGACTAGTACTCAGCAAAGATTCAGAGGTCACTTCTCAAGTTCTCCAGAGCTTTCTCTGTAATGCTGCCACTTCTCTGCAAATTGTAGCCGTGTTGGCCTCTCTGAACTACAAATTTTCTCTACCCAGCTTGGTGAGACCACTGGACTGTGCTTGTGATCTTCGTCCTTGTACTGCTGCCTGGAAACTTCAGGTCTGGGCTGATGCTATGTAGGACTCACTGTGTTTGTTTCTCTTTTCTTAGGGATTGCTGTTCTGTGCTGCCAAATTGTCTAATATCTGTAAACTGTTGCTTCATATATTTTGTAGTTTAAGGCAGGAGAGTAAATCTGGTTGTTGTTACTCCATTATGGTCAGAAACAAACATGTAAAGGCTTAATTAAGTTGTGGACCTCATAACCTTTTCCCTGATTGCCACTGGGAAGGTGATAGGCACATAGTATTGGTAAATATTTGTCTAATTGAACTATTTTGACTTTAAATTGCTTTTCAATAATGTATTTTATTTTGAGCTATTTTTATATACTGAAACTTGTTCTTAAGTAGGTTACAATCTGAAGTTTTTTTTTTTTAAGACAATTGTAGTTTCTATTTCCAAAGTTTGGATATCTGAGATGTTAAGGAAGGAGTTAGAATGACAAGGTGGACTTTAAGTAGTTACCTTGTGTTCATGAGGGAAAATTGGGACAGATCAGACTGCTGTAATTCTCGCAGATTGGAAATCAAGGAAGGGACAAAATATAGAAAGCTAGAAGTAATTAGTCTATGTCTTTAGTTTGTTTCTGTTTCCATGGTTGGAAAATAACTGCCATCTGATTTATACATTGAACTGGTTTTATTTTAATTAAATTTTAGAAATAGCCAGATTGTTTGCCTGAATTGACTATAGGGTTTGACTAGATCCATTCCTTTGGTTAATGTTGTCAGCCTCTGCATACATAAGTAGAAATGAAATTATCTTATGGGACTGTTTTAAGTCATAGAATAGTTAACTAAAAGGCAAGAAAATTTAGATTAGTTTCATTAAATTAGGTCATTGTCTGTTTAAATTTATGAGTTCTTAATATAATCTACTTAGCAGAAGAATGTTGATAACTCGAATACTGTTATTCTTATAGTAGTGAAAAGAATTCTTTTGCTGTCCATAAGTTCTATAAATAACTAGTAATGACATTCATATTATGCATGGTTCTCAAATTACCTGTTCTTTATATATTGCTTTCCCCTCAGTGTTGCCCTGGAAACTGTCCACCTTGTGATCAAAACTGTGGACGGACTTTAGGATGTAGAAACCATAAGTGTCCATCTGTCTGCCACAGAGGTAAAATTTAACAATAGCTATAATTTTATGTTTGTATTTACACAGTGCTTTATACCTCATAGAGAACTTTCACATTCATTACCTTACTCTTAATAATCTTGAGAAGATGGGGTAGTCACCAAAATCCCTATTTGATGAATAAGAGATTATAGTTGGTGAGGGAAATATCTAGTAAATTCTCACTCAGAAGTATCTAGTAAAGCAGTATAGTCAATATCTGAGCTCAGGTCTTCTGAATATAAAAGTTTTTTCTTTCTATATGTTGTTTCCTTACTTCTTTCCAACCTTCTCCACAAAGTTTTTAAATTAGCATGTTCTACGATTTTTTTCAGTATTATTTTGAATTTTAGACATTTATGTGTCTCATTCAGGATTGGATATATCCTAAGCCAGTGGCTCTCAAAATTTTTGGTTTCAAGATCTCTTTGCACTTTTTTTGGACCCAAAGACTATGTGTTAATGTGGCTTTTATTAATTGATAAATTATATAGATTTGAAATTAAAATGCAGTAATATTACATTTATTTTAAAAAATAGCAATAAGAAACCCATTATTACTTCATACCATAACTTATTTTTTGTGAAAAATAATTATTTTTATGAAAAAGTTTAGTGAGAAGAAAGATATTGTTCTACATTTTTGCAAATGTCTGTAATGTCTAGGTTAATGTAAGGTAACTGGACTCACATATCTACTACTTCATTCAATCTATTAAGTATTTAAGCTTCTGGAAAACTATGCATTTAAGACCTTTTAGACCCCTCCCACCTGAAAAAGTCTGGTATTAGGCATTGAAAACTGGGTTAATTTTACCCATTTGGAGTATGTTGAAATGAAGTGGAATCTACTAAAAGATGTAGAGGGTAGTGGGAAGAGCATGGACTTAGGGCAAGAGGTGCTGGTTCAAGCTGGACTCTGCCACTTAGCTTTATGACCTGGGACAAACAACTGTACTATGTTTGTTGTTTTCCTTTGGGGCTAGGTGGATGCTAGATTAATCTCTTAACCCTCTCAGAAATCTTGCAAGTTATATTGGCACTACTATTGTTTTGTATGAGGAAATAGGCAAAGAAACTATTAGCCCAGGGTCATAGAATTAGTTTCAGGTGTTAGGATGTGAACCCACACTTTAATGATATTTCCATTATACCATATAGCCTCCCCATTAGGAAAAGTGGCAGATTCTATTAACCCCATAGACATTTTCCTGTGGATATTCTCTGATTTGTCAGTGTCTTAAAATTGTGAAGATTAGAACTAGTTTTTCAGTTCTGACCATCACTTAAAAGGATTTTATTTTCTTTTATGGTCAGATTACATCACTGACCCATTACATTTAAATTTCATCAATGTTTTAAATTTAGTCATTAATTCATTCTGTGAGTGTTTTTGAGTGTCTACTAAGTACCAGGCACTGAAATTACATGAGTGAACACTATTGACAAAGTGCATTATATCACTGACCCATTACATTTAAATTTCATCAATGTTTTAAATTTAGTCATTAATTCATTCTGTGAGTGTTTTTGAGTGTCTACTAAGTACCAGGCACTGAAATTACATGAGTGAACACTATTGACAAAGTGCATTATATCACTGACCCATTACATTTAAATTTCATCAATGTTTTAAATTTAGTCATTAATTCATTCTGTGAGTGTTTTTGAGTGTCTACTAAGTACCAGGCACTGAAATTACATGAGTGAACACTATTGACAAAGTGCATTATATCACTGACCCATTACATTTAAATTTCATCAATGTTTTAAATTTAGTCATTAATTCATTCTGTGAGTGTTTTTGAGTGTCTACTAAGTACCAGGCACTGAAATTACATGAGTGAACACTATTGACAAAGTGCATTATATCACTGACCCATTACATTTAAATTTCATCAATGTTTTAAATTTAGTCATTAATTCATTCTGTGAGTGTTTTTGAGTGTCTACTAAGTACCAGGCACTGAAATTACATGAGTGAACACTATTGACAAAGTGCTTGCTCTTATGGAACTTATTTTTTTACTCCTCCTCAGTTAGAATACAAATAAGTACTCAAATTAATATATAATGTCAGGTAGTGACAAGGATAGAAAGAAAATCAGTACAATTAAAATTGTGGTAATGGGGATGGTATATGTTATTTTATATAGTGTGGTAAAGGGAGGACTCTGAAAAGGTGACATTTGAGAGGAAGTCCTGAAGGAAGTAAGGGGTCAAGCTATGTGGAAATGGGGGTGGACAGGAAAGCCATGATTGCAAAGGCCCTGAGAAAGGAGCATTTGAAGGAACTGCAAAGAGGACTGAAGCATGTACTCAAGGGGACAAATAGTAGGATATGATGTCAAGGAGATGGTGGTATAAAGGATTGCAGGGCAGAGGAGAAAACATATAGGGCCTTTTAGACCATTGTTAAACACTGGCCTTTAAGTAGAAAGCCTGACTAATTGTATGACCATTAAAGAAGTTGGATCAGTAGTTTAGAGTTTTCTCACCAAGAAAACACCAGGCCTAGATGATTTTTACAAATGATTTTTAACCAACATTTAAAGTATAAGTTCAATCACTTTATAATCTATTTGAGAGTATATATATAAAAAAGGAATGTGCCCTAACTCATTCAGCTACCAAGGAAAGTAAGAGAAAATTACAGGCCAATTTAATTCATGAACATGTTTGTAAAATACTAAAGTTTCAGGTACTCATCCAGCTATCCAGTACTACAGTAAGTAGCTGTCCAGAACCTTAATCTATCATAACCAAGTTAGGTTTCTCTAATAATGTGTGGTTGATTTACAATAGTAAATTTAATATTTAATTCACTATTAGCAGATTAAAAGAGAAATGAGATCATTTCAGTAAATGTTTAAAAAATAGTTAACATCCATATATGATGAGAACTTAACTAGAAATAGAAAGGAGCATCCTTAACCTGATATCTGCAAAAAGGCTAGCGTAAGCATCATACTTGGTGGAGAAATACTGAAAGTATATCCCACTCTTGCATTATGTTCAAGCAAGTCCCATAAATACTTCAGTGTTCATCTCTAAAAGATGGATTCTTCACCTAAAAATAGTTAATATGTTTCTAAGTATCAGCAAATACCTGGTGTTCGATTTTCTTGTCTCATAAATATCTTCACTTTTTACTTAGTTTGTATAACTTAAAAGCCTTGTAAGACTGACATGTTGTAATTTGTTGATGTCTCTAAAGTCTGCTCATTTATAATTACCCTCCTCTATCTCTCTTTTACCCACTGTTATCTATTTAAGAAACTATATTGCTTTGTTTAATTCCAAAGAGTCTGGATTTTGCAGATTGCATCTCTGGTATTATTTGACATTTTCCTCTGTATTTCCTATAAATTATTGGTGGGACTGAGAAATTTGATCAGATCTGGGTTCAGTTTCTTTCGGGGGCAGGGGGTAACATTTACTTTTTAAAAAAGAACCTTTTTAGCCCCTAACAAAATTACCTTAATGGAAAGGATTTGAAAGATACTGTTGTGAAACTCTCACCATTTGTTTAGCTCACAGTGATATAAGATATAAAGAATCATTATTTTATACCCTTTTCCATCATTCTAGACACCCTTGTAATCAAAGTTATACTGTAATTCATAGGGAGAGGATACTAACTGTATGTTTACACTCTGAAAAATAAAAGTTTGATTTATGTTTCTTTTAATTTCAAGGTCATATATGTTTGTAGTTCTGGAATTTTTGGACTAATACCCATTTCGGCTCTTGACCCACTGGTCACATAGTTCCATTCTTCATGCTGTTCTCTTTTATATTGAAAATATTATCATTGAAGCTGTTTTAATTTATCTGTCACGTTGTATAGGTATCTGAAATTCTGTTTATCAGTAGGAAGACTTTTCAGAGAAATTATCCTGTATACTTAATACTTAATTTTTAAAAAGAAGTAATGCTGTAGTTTAGAGTGGCAGAAAGTTATGTTTGATAAGTCTTCCTTAGAATTGCTGAAGATGAATTATCATTAAGTGTGAAATTGATATAATATGCTTAATGAGAACAGACTTACTGTCATCATTAACTTTTAAAAATGTGACATCTGATCATTCTTTTGGAAGGATCAAAATGAAATTTGATCATGTGGGTTAGGATAACTTGGCTTGTATTATCATTAATATAATACTTTGCTGGCTTATATACTTTACTTACCAAAACACTGAATTATAAATTTGGTAATTTATACCATACATATATGTTTTTCCCTCTGGTACCTTTTACTCTCATTTTCCTTTTCTATGTTCATTATTTGAATCAAAATTCTTAATTTCTGTTTGTTTTAGGGAATTACTTCGAACTTTCAGAGCTTTACCCAGTCTGTTTTTCATGATTAATTTGTTATTGATCAGGTTAACTGCTTTTTAGTATTATGCTTGGTCCCAACACCTAGGCAGCAGTCTCTTAAGATACTCACCTCCTTTGGTGAAGACTTGTATTCCCTTTATTATTTCATTTCTGATGGGGTACCTTACTTACTAGAAACACTAGATTGGGAAAAAGCCCTTAAGATGATATTAGAGCCTTGGGGAGAATTTTATAGCCTGTTTAAAAAGGTGTTTTTCTTTTTGTTTTTGTGTACTTCTATAACAAAATAAGGTGAAAGCTGAATCCCAAATAAATTTTTCTTTTAAAATGTTTATAGAAGAAATACTGGAAATTATAGCCTAAAATGAGAGCAATGGAAAATTGTACTTGATTTTTGTACAATAAATCTGTAGAAATAACCTGATGAAAGAAGTTACTCTAATTGGGGAATTTATCTAAAAATTATGTACTTGAATAAAAGTGTGTATGAAAGTAAGCCAAAAGGGTTATTGTTAATATTAGATTTTCCAACGTCTTAGATCCATTTTATTTATGTAGTTTTGAAGGAGTAATGTGTTAAATTTGTTAGTACAGAACTATTAGAAAATTTTCAGGAAAATTCTACAACTTTATATTGAGGTACCAGTGTATATATAGAAAAATATACAAATCATAAGTGTATATAGCTTTGTGAATTTTTATAAACTGAATATAACCATGTATCTGGAACTCAGATCATTAAACAGAACATCCCCACATTTCCAAAACCTGATTGTATCTTGTGTAACCATCATCCTGATTTTGAACAGTATAGATTAGTTTTTCCTGGTTACTTTAAGTAAATGGAATCATTTACTGCATACCCTTTGTGTCTGGCTTCTTTTGCTTAATGTTATATGTGTGAGTTTCATCCTTAATAGTATCTTTATTCTCATTATAGAGTGTTCCATTGTGCAAATATACTAAACTTACTAGTTATACTGTTGATGTGCATTTGGGTAATTAAGGAAATTTCTTCTGAAAGTGTCAGACTTTTTTTTTCAGGCAGTTGCTACCCCTGTCCAGAAACTGTAGATGTGAAGTGCAATTGTGGTAATACAAAGGTGACAGTACCCTGTGGCCGAGAACGTACCACTAGACCACCCAAGTGCAAAGAGCAATGCAGGTTAGTGTGAAGCCATACACACACTTATTTATATCTGGTGTCTAACAAATTTAAATTCATAACTGGTTTTTAATATTGCTAGTATTTTTAATTTTTTTCTGTTTTACAGCACATCATAGTTGTAAATATGCTTCCGTATGTAATCAGAAGATTATTGATAATTGCATGTTAAATATAATTGTTCAGTGACCAAAAGTAATTTAAAAAAATGCTTTATGTTTTAGCCGACCACCAACTTGCCATCATACAAGTCAAGAAAAACATCGCTGTCACTTTGGCTCTTGTCCTCCGTGTCATCAACCTTGCCAAAAAGTTTTGGGGAAATGTGGTCACTTGTGTCCTGCTCCATGTCATGATCAAGCGTTAGTAAAGCAAACTGGCAGGGTAAGGGAATTATATTATTTAGAAATAGTTCATTCTTGTGAATCATATTTTCTTAATTTTACTTAGTCTTTCAATAAGCAATGATTAAGTACTTGGTATTAAGCATTGTGATAGGAGTTGGAGTACAAGGTAAATAAGACTTGGTTTTTGTCTTAAGAAGCTCACATAGAAAAGGAAACAAAGCAATAAACAAATGTTATACAGTGTGATAGTCATGTGATCATGATACAGATGAATTTGGCAGTCTTCATATATTGTGGGTTAGGGTTATAGATATCTCCTGATATCCTCAAAGATTCATTCACATATTCAACAAATAATTTGTTGAATTGTTGCTATGTGTATAGCATTCTTCTAGGTGCTAGGGAGACAGCACCTAGCAAAATAATAGAGATTATGTTCCACTGGTGGAAATTGGATTTTAGAATTGTTTCTTATACTCCTTTTGGCCATTGAGAAATGAAAGAGGCTACATTGCCTTTGTTCTATCATTTAAAAACAAGTCTGCCTCAATTTTTAATATCAAATGTGTGTTGCGGGGAACAATCTGATAGAATACAGATGGAATAAAATATTCAGTAAGCATAATTTGTTTATTACTTGAAAAAAATTTCAACCTGCTTGAACAGAAGATACGTGGAGCTATTTTCTTAGATTATTGTGATGGCCACATAATTTAATCTCTCTGACTTAAAATTGTTATTTATTTTACTTGTAGCACCAGCCTACAGGCCCTTGGGAACAACCTTCTGAGCCAGCATTTATTCAGACTGCATTACCTTGTCCTCCATGTCAAGTTCCTATTCCTACGTAAGTATTAGATTTTTAACTTAAAAAAATGTTTTTTAACATAGTTCAAAGTGTATCTTAAGTCACCTTCTCTGCTTTTTCTTTATGAAGTTCATCATTACTTCATGCTTAGCCTATAAACTAGTTTCTGTCTTCAACCTCATTCTTTTCCAAATGTATTTTATACACTGCTTAAAAACCTCCTCTAGATGCTTTTGAGTCTTTTTTCCTTATTTGGAGTTTGGTGGCCTTCTTAGCTTCCACAGCAACCTGTGTATGCAGTTAACAATTATTCATCCAGGAGATTATCTGTTCGTTTTCCTGACTGATTGCCATTCTAGTCTGTAAGCTCCTTGAAAGCAGGAAAGGCAGGTTTTAGGTGTTTGAGGGAAAACCTGAAAATGAAAGGGAGTAGTTTCCTGAATGAGTCAGGAAATGACTTGGATTGAGTAGTAAGGAGTCCTAGGGTACTAGGGATCCTAGGATGGTTCATACTTTCAGCAGAGGTTATGGAATACAGGGGAAAAGGAAGCACAGAGTGCTGGGAAGCAACTTCATACGAGAAAAGGGGCAGTTGTTTACCATTAAAGTTCCAGATTGACTACTGGTACCTTGTATATCAGTCTTTAAATAAGAGAGGGTTCTTACTTTCTTCACTTTTAAAAGCTCTCACTCCCATTTTGTCCTTCCACAATTTTCCTTTCAGTTTAAATAGCACGTACACTTTTATAAATGGGTTGTGCAGTCAAGTTTGGAGACAAAATGTTGAGGGCTATTTCCACAAACAGAGTGATTTTAGTCTATAGATTTTGTGGAGGGGGGAGGTACAGTTACCACAGAGGTTCCTTATGTACCTATTCAATTAATAATTATTAGAGACTCTTCTTAAGGACTTGTGGTATGATCATGAGGCACCAAGTTGTCTACTGTATTGCTTCTAAGTTTGAGTTATTAGTGATTATCAGTGGCCTAAATTTTTCCTTTAAGAGAAACAGAAGAGACATTGATATTATGACTCATAGGTGCTAAAACTGTCAATATGTCGTAGTCAATTAGCTTGGAATTCTTTAGTCTGTTTTATAGGAAGATTATTTAATGTATGTGCCTGTCTTTGTCTTATAGCAAGAATGTATGTGTATCTTATTTAATTCAGTAAATTTGCTTGAAGTCTTTTAGGTTGGATTAAATATTTTCTGACAGTAGAAAAAACTGGAATTGCCATGTCATATTTTACTAGAGTTTTAAAAAATTAAATTTTAAAGAGTCTGCCCTTTGTACTTAACTAGAATGTGCTGCTGGAAGTGTTTTGTGTATATATATATATATATTAAATGGACTGTGTTTTAGAGTAAGGACTCTTGCGTTCAGTGTTGTGCTTCTCACTGATTTCTACCTTGAATAAGTTATATATCTTCTCAGTCTTTTTGAAAAATAAAGAAGTTTAAGCTATCCACAAAATTGTCAGTGTTCAGGAGAGAATTTATGGAGGTCCTTAATTATAATAAAATGTCCTGTGTATCTCATAACAATTCTTAAAGTCTATTTTGTCTGATGTTAGTATAGTCATACCTACTTTCTTTTGGTCACTGTTTGCATGGAGGAATGGATACATTCTTAGAAATACCCAAACTGTTGAAAATGACTCAGGAAGAAGTAGAAAATCTGAATAAAACTCTATTTAGTAAAGAGATTGATTTAGTAACCAAAAACTTACAGTGAAGAAAATCTCAAGACCAGTGACTTCACTGGTAAATTGGACCAAACTATCAGTTAACACTGATGCTTCATTAAAGAAGGATACTTCCTGACTCATTCAGTGAGGCTAGTATTTCCCTGATACTATAAACAGAGAAGGATATCACAAGAAAAACAAACTATAGACTGATATCCTTTTTGAATGTAGGTACCAACGTTCTCAACAAAATACTAGCAAGCAGAATCCAACAACATGTGAAGAAGATTGTACACCATGACCAAGTGGGATATATCCCAGAAATATGAGGTTGATTGAACTTATGAAAACCAATCAATACAATACTTTATCAGTAGAATGAAGGACAATTGATGCAGAAAATGTTTGACAAAATATGAAACACTCAACAAACTGGAATAAAGGAGAACTTCCTCAGCCTTTTAAAGGGCATCTATGAAAAACCCATGGTTA